CGCGGACCTTGTGATCCACAGTCCAGTGACATATCCACTCATCTACGACACCTCTAATGACTTTGCCCCTTGAAGATGTGTGATTTCTTGAGTCATTCATTTTCTCTACCTTTATAATGGGCTAGTTTTGTTTCTCACCGGGTATCAATCGAGGAACGAAGATGGCAAGCAATCCTAGCGATAGTGTCTCGATGATAAGACCTATGAGAAGGATCATCCGATCAGAAACCCTCTTGCTCATTACCTTCACCACTACAAAGAAAAACAGGAGCTGAAAACAAGATGGACAGAAAAACAGTTTTAAGTTTCTAAATTAGATATGATTTAACTTGGTACCACACAACCCTAGCGACACTGTTTTGATGATTGAAACAGCTACTTTCTTGCCACCAAGAAGAAAATCAAGAGCTGAAAACTAGATGGATCTCCGACTGGCGCAGTCAAAAATGATGGCTCTGCCATAGAGCGATTTTACAAACCAAAACAGAAGCAATTTTTGAAAATTGAAGTATGCTTGTAATCCATTAACAGGTTCTCAGAATATCATGATTACAAGCTATTTTTCATAAACATGAATTACCCTTTGATCTTTGACATCATGACCCTAAATGTAATCACTTCATTGGCTTTGCAAGATACATACTTGTCCTGAGTTTGATAGTAATCCATCCCTCATTTTTATCGATAATGCATTCACAAGCTATTTTTGCATACATAATGAGCTCCATGACCTTCAACATTGTGACCCCAAAATCCAATCATTTCATTGGTTCTGCAAGATACATACATGACCCAAGTTTGGCGGGAATCCATTAACCGATTCTTGAGAAACACAATCAAGCGCTATTTTGGCATACATAATGAGCCCTGTGACCTTTCACCTTGTGACCCCCAATTCTACTCAGTTCATTGGCTCTGCAAGTTACATACACAACCTAATTTTGGTAGGAATCCATAGATCGGTTCTTGAGATAACGCGATCACAAGAACGGGACGTACGGACCGACAACCCGAAAACATAATGCCTCCGGCTACTTTGTAGCCGTGGCATAAAAATCAAGGGTGGACAAAACAGTGTTGAACATGTACACTTCTGAGGGAAACCTCATTGGGAACAAACATACATACGGGTGGTATTATTTCTTGATCCAATGAAATAGGAACGTTTAAAACTGACTTTAAATTGACTGACTCACCTCAACTCCACAAACACAGTAAAAAATACTGTTATCAATTTCAGTGAAGTTTAGATAATGCTCATTCAGTGGCACCACAGCAGTCTGTAAAGAAACAGAAGAAAAGAAATAATTCAAACTATTTTTACAAACAATAATAGAAAGATCAAACAAGAACTTACCGTTTGAAGTTTGATCTTTATTTCATGAGAGACTAGTAGGAAGAAATTACATGAGAATAATCTGTAAACAAGCTTTGTTTCTCGAAAGAAACAATTCCATAGGACAAAGAAAAAGTGGAATTTTTACATAAATTTTGACTGCTCTGAGAAGTTACTTCTCAGTAAAACCATGCATGCAAAGAAGTGATATGACTGCGCATGTGAGGGATGGGTTCTCATGGGCGCTCTTACAGAGACTCATGAAATAAAATATACAAATATTTACTGCTTTGAGGGGCACAGTTCAAACTATTGCTCAAGGTGACCCCGATACTGTACTGTACCCCTGGACAAATTCAAGGGGCATAGAGTAGACCGAGATCGCCAAATATTATAGTTTTAACAGTTACCCCCAAAATATGAATTTTTATGTTATCATTCATGTGAATATTTGGAACTTTTATCATGAAGACTTTTGGTTTGAATATCCAAAATAATTGGTATTGCAAAGTCTGATCAAAGTCTAATCCCAAAGTGTGCATTGGGGCTTACTTGTAGCTTTTAACATTAAAGGGAAATCCAACCTTGATAGCAGAAAAAAGAAAGAAAAGCATACACCTGTACTTCTGAAAGTTTGAATGAAATAGCACAACAAATTATGCATTTTTGAAAGTTGCAGTTACTATAAAAGGTAAGAGTTCTTCAAATTGGCTGAATCGGTTATGTCTCTGGTATTTAGGGACAAACAATTTTCCATTTGTTCCAACACACAAAATGACTAAAATGCTGATCTTTCAAAAAATGTTAGACTCTGGATAGTACTTTTTTTTCAGAGGGCCTGTAATAATATATTCTTCATAATATATTATGAGTAGTGCCTCAAGGATGAATACACTTGGGAGAAAAAAAAAATTGGTGATATGTGTGTACATGACAAACAGGAGAGGTATCCGTCACTATATAACAATCCACGGACAAAATTATCAATATGAGAGTCATATAGCCGTAGTGATCTCATATTTCAAACATTCATAACTTTCTTACTATTGTTCAGACTTATTTGTTATTTCACACTTTCGCCATTCTGTTTCTCTGTTTTTTTTCTGCTTTCATTTAAAAGAATTTATTACAAGGGTTGGATTGCTCTTAAATGCACTACACAGAGATGCCAACCTCTTGACACAAAAAAACAGACTGAGTATCTTAAAAAATCAGATTTTGGAGAGAAAAATCAGATTTTCACGAAAAACTCAACACTACCAATGGCCGGTTGGCCCCAGACCCAGTAAAATTTCAGAAAAATGTGATACTGGTACGTATGGTCAAGTAAAATGTTTGCCCTTTCATTAAAATTTTAAAAGAAAATTGTAAAGCAAAGTTTTTGTAGGGGTTGCAGGGATTTACTTGTACATATTTCTATGCGATTCTGTAGTTTTTATGGGTATACAAAAAAAAAAATTAAAAAAAAAAAATTTAAAAAAAAAAAAAGTTTTTTGTTGTTGTTGAAAAATCATATTTTAAGAGGTTATATCGTATTATCATATTCCACTCTTATTATCATACTAAATACGATTAAATTGTACTGGTTGGCATCTCTGACTACAGAATGTGCCCGGAAATAAAATGGAATATAATGAATATAATCATCCGTACCTCTAACCCTGGCTGATTAAAGTAAAACACAAACTGTACGGCAAGAAGAACTACAATCTCCTCTGTAAGGCATTCTGTGGAGATAAAACATAGATTTATAAATATGCATCATTATCAATCAATCAAACGATTCATTGTACAAGCACGAAACATCAGCGAGAGGGTTACAATAAATTCATATTGTATCAGCTGGACAAATATTGCTTTGTCAAATGTTTGTTGTTGTATATTATCGGGTTATGTAATAACTATAAACAACACAAACAAATAACCCTGATATATATAAAATCATGTATATGTCTTTTAACTTTGTTTGTTATTTCATGTATTTGTAATCATTTTTTGTGTACAGGGCCTCTCAGAAAAACAGTATTAATACTGAGAGAGTCACCCTGTGTAAATAAAACGAATAAATAAATAAATAAATAAAAAAAATTATGAACTGCCCTAACAATTGACCCAATCTCAAATATGATGTTCGATGGTTGATGGCGACCATCCTCCCACACAGCGCAGGTCAGCACATAAGCAGATAGGATACCCAGGAAGACGATAAGACAAGGTTTCTTTCAACTTTCATAGAAAAAGTACAGCTGTGACAACTAATTCCTTAATTTAATAAACGATTGTTCAGGTTTCATGAACTCCCATGATGATTTGATGAGATCTTTGTACATGTAAGCACCATCATAATCTGTAACTTGTGGTTTATTGGCTCCAAAACTATAATTTCTATCAGACTTTCCAGTTCCTGAAACATTGTTTTTGCATGGGAATGTAAAGTGCCTTCGCCAAATATACCCATGGGCAGTGCTGCCCTCTATGGCCAAATACTGTAGATGCAGTAACGTGATTTATCCCCCTTGATAACCTAGAGTCATTAATATCATATTTTAGTCATGTAGGTCCATGTATGACATGATACCTCACGACAGAGTTGCCAATAGGAAGTTCCTTGTATTCTTAGTTCAAGTTAAGGTTCAAGTTTATTTGTTCCACATTTTACCAAAAATATAGACATATACAAACATATAAAATAATCATTATACAATACATGTAGTATATCAATGATTCTCAATTTATATAATAGGTAAGTAGAATGTGAGGAACCCATTTATTAAAGTGACCTATTAGTGATCTCAAATTCCAAAAGTTTATAACTTATTTTCTGATTTACATATATTTCCAGCTGCCATTACTTCTTTTCTCAAATTTTTCAGTTCCCACTGAGATCAACTTTGAGTAGAAGTAGTTTCTTTCCCTTTAATACTCTCAATTTAGACCATTATTTTCAGGCCCAAACAATCTGAAACCCTCAACCATGAACATACAGGGCCTCTTATGCAACAGAGATAATCCCTATTTGCATTTAGATAATGCTGACATGTCCTTCAATACATTTATTTCACAAGAAGATATAATATAATCCCCTGTGGCTGTGGTAGACCTCCTATTACAAGACACTACTAGACTACCGACAAGTTTTTGTTATGAAATGTCTTCAAAAGTTGCTAACATACATGAAGTTTACTAACTTTGAAGGGGTGAATCTGTGGCATTTTTGGTAGGATTGTCTCAACATTGGAACCAAAACAATGGAACCATGCCACTTCACACACATAAAAATCCTTCCTTCAATACCGAACAGTTAATTTGCTGATGAACTTTAAACGAAAAAATATGACAGTTCTGCAGTATCACTTCCTGAAAGATTCTACATATATCATTGTAAATTCCCACTTTAACCCGTTCAGCTCGGCATTATTCAGCCTGATAGCCACCTCACAAACGAGATTAAAAATCGAACACGCCGTACCGTGAGACCGCTCAGCGCGCGCCACAATGCGTGTGCGTTCAAGCGGCCAGAGGCTTCGACTAACGGGAACCTAGCGCATGCGCAGATCATTTGCCAATCTGGTCTTGTCATGTCGAGAACACGTTGCACGGCCGTTCTCTGCTGTGCTCCAAGCCTCTCAGTTCTTTCAGCTCTTTCGTAGGGTTTTCTTCTTCGTTATCTTTTCTTCTTCTTCTTCGCCTCATTCTTATTTTGTTCTTCTTCTTTCTCTTTTTATTTAGATACTCAATTTTATGAGAAAAATACACAATTAATAAGAAATTAAGGATTCGAATGTAAATCTCTGTTGCATCATATTCATATGAAATAATTTACCAGCCTAAATTGACGGTTATAATATTATTTTGTCGGACATTATACTATAGCGAAAAGATATAGACATGATAAAATGAAACTAAAGAAGAATCCAGAATGGGGGAGGGTTGGGGTGAAAGGAGAGACAAAATAGAATAATAATAAATAAATACAGTACAGACTATACCGATGTGCCATTTGGAGAGCAAAATAATTAGTTTGTTTTATTTACTAATGTAAAGCGCTTTGAGCATGTTTATGCCATATAAATATCAATATGTATGAATATATTGCCAAATTTTGACAATTGTAGTTTGTAAGTATATATATTGACAAAGTATAAATACAAATAAAACCGACACAGAAATGTCTGCAAGTATTTGGGACCTATATAGAATGTGCGAAAAGAGCTTTGTCTTTGTCTTTGGCCCATCCATGTTCCCACAGCTGAGTTACGTAAGAGGAACAATGAACGTTGCTGAGGGTACGGGTCGTTGTCATGGCTATAAACTCTAAAGAGCGGAAGTAAGGTAAGGGTATAATTGAATAATTGGATGACAGATCTGAGATTATATTATCCAAAAAAAAAGAGAAGAGTATGAATTTACAAATAGTACCAACAAATAGAAGAAAAAAAAAAATAAAGTGAAAGGCGTAAATATTCTAAAAAAAAGAATGAAACGCCGATAATACCAAACAACAACAACAACAACAATGAACTGACTTTGTATTCATGTATAACCCTGCTTTATGTTGTTTTTGGGGAGGGAAGGGTCTTGTTGTTATTGCAGTTGTCGTTGCTGTTTTTAAAATTTTTAAATGGGATCACGTTCCGACATTCTCATAAATAAAAATCATATGACGTAAAGCCAGACTTTACCCTATCTGAAACACTCATTCAAAGACAACAATCATGCACGATAAAGGAATGGCCAAGAATATGTGATAAAGATAAAATGTCACAGACAAATAGATAATTATAAGAAATGATTGTTTCTCTCTCTCTCTTTCTCTCTGTTTATGTGTCTCTCTCTCTCCCTCTATCTCTCACTCGGTCGCTTTCTCTGTCTATCTGCCAATTGTGTTCCGCCGTTTGCTTGTATGCCGGCAACATTCCTTTTTTGAGATAGATTATTATAAAATAATGATGATGTACACACTTTATTATACCTTATATTTATTATAGCGAGCGAAGTGAAAAACGAGCGGCTGATAATATCTAAATGCGAATAATTATATTTCCAAAGTAAAACTTTTGAATGAAAATCTCTGTTGCAACAAATTGATATAAACACTGTTTATTATGCTATATTGACTATACTATTATACGTCGGACATTATACTTCAGCGAAAAGATATCTATATGATAACAAAAAGGACAGACTAAAGGCGACATAAATCGGAGCTGGGGTGGGGGGGGGGGGAGGATGATCGGAGAGACAAAATATCTTATAAATAAATACAGTACGGACTACGTCCAACTTTCTATCTCTCTCGCCCCCTTCCCCCTCCCCTTTCTCTCTCTCTCTCTCTCTCTCTCGCTCGTTCTCTCTTTCTCTTTCTATTTTCGCCTCTCTCTCTCTCTCTCTCTCCCTCTATATGTCTCTCTGTTTATCTGGCAATGTCGTTTTCCATCTTCATCTTTTTTTTATTAAATGTTTTCTATTCCTCCGTTTGCTTGTATGCCGACATCATCTCTTCCTTGAGATTAATTATTATAACGTAATTATCCCTGATAATGTACACATTATACCTTATATTTATTATAGGAAACGAAATAGAGAACGAGCGGCTGATAATGTCGAAATGCGAAGAATATTACTGAACAATAATTATATTTCCAAAGTAAAACTTTTGAATGAAAATTTCTGTTGCATCAAATTTATTGATATAAAAAAAATGTTTAAAATGCTATATTTACAATACTATTATACGTCGGACATTATACTTCAGTGAAAAGATATCTATATGATGAAGGAAAAAAAGGGCAAACTAAAGGGTAAAAAAAAAAATCGGAGCTGGGGGGGGGGGTGATCAGAGAGACAAGTATTATATAAATAAATACAGTACGGACTACGTCCAACTTTCTATCTCTCCCGCCCCTAGCTTTCCCCTCCCCTTTCTCTCTCTCTCTCTCTCTCTCTCCCTCGTTCTCTCTCTCTCTTCCCCCTCTCTCTCTCTGTCTTTCTGTCTATCTGGCAATGTCGTTTTTCATCTTCATCTTTTTTATAATTTTTTCTATTCCTCCATTTGCCTGTACGCCGGCAGCATCTCTTCCTTGAGATTAATTATTATAACGTAATTATCCCTGATGATGTACACATTATATCTTATATTTATTATAGGAAACGAAATAGAGAACGAGCGGCTGATAATGTCGAAATGAGAAGAACATTACCGAACAACAATTATACCAAGTAAAACTTTTGATTGTAAATCCCTGTTGCATCAAACTGATTGATACAAAAATTGTTTATTATGCTATATTGACGGTACTATTATACGTCGGATATTATACTTTAGCCCAAAGATATAAACAAAACAAAACAAAAAAATGGACAGAAAAAATGTGAGCTTGAGGGGGGGGGGGGGGGGGGGGGGGGGGGTCGGTGAGAAAAATATCATAGTAATAAATACAGTACAGACTACGTCCAACTTTCTATCTCCCCCCGCCCCCTCTCTCTCTCCCTCTCTCCCTGTCCGTCTGTCTCTCTGTCTATGTCGTTTTCCATCTTCATCTTCATAATGTTGTCTATTCCGCCATTTGCATGTATGCCGACATCATCCCTTCCTTGAGATTAATTATTATAACATATCCTTGATGTTATACGTCGGACATTATACTTTAGCAAAAAGATATAATCAAACAAAAAGGAGACAAAATAAAGAAGACAAAAAAAAAATCAGAGTTGGGGGGGGGGGGGGTGACCGGAGAGACAAATATCATTAAATATCATTGTACGCATATTTTATTTGTTTTGTATGTAACGGAAAGAGATAAATAAATGACAGAGATTAGAACAAAATCATAATTCATCACAATCATCTCTCTCTCTCTCTCTCTTTCTATCTATTTATCTATCTTTCTCTGTCTGTCTCTGTCTGCCTGTCTCTATCCTCCCCCTTCCCTCTCTGAATACGTCAGGAATTTCGTGAAATTGGAATTGTGCTTCAGTGTATTTTATTTCCGTATCGCGTTGTTGTGTTTGTTTTTGTTTTTCGAAAGGGTGCGGCTAATAAGGAGTTAATCGCAGTAGTATTGGTAGTCTTTTATTTATTCGAAAATAAATGATATTGAAAATATAGTAATTCATTATATTACGGAACAATAAAGAAAGAAGTGCAAACAACGTGATAATTCACTTTATTTGTCTTCGTCTCCATCTGTGTCCTTGTTCAACCTATCGTGTCAATAAAACTTAGATAATCCTCGTTTCATGATCAGTTCTGTAGATGGCATGTACATGCATACATGATAATGATAATGATGATGATGATGATGTAGATGATGCTTACAATATTGTAATAAAATAGTAATAATAATAATAACAATTATTTTCTTCATCTCGCACTCGCTTTTCTTCATTGCCAGAAAACTTGTTTTATGTTGCCTTGCATTTTTTTCAACAATGGTAGCATCTTTGCCCGGGAAAAGTCTCATATTCGTGGCTTTACCGCCGGAGTTGCTCAGGACAAGAGTAATATTCCGTAGGGAGAGAGAGGAAGAGTAAGGGGTCGTTTTTCAGAACATAACATTTGAACATTTCATATGCCCGCTCAAGCCAAGACCGGCTTCAGGTTGATCAAGATATTGTACTTCAACCTGCTCTAAAACTGTTACATGCCCTCGTAAAGGTGTATAAGTTAAGCTATGGTCACAAATCAGAGCAGCGACCGACCGATCAGTAGCCTGCTCGGTCGCTGATGGAATTAGGCATCGCCAAGCGATTAGGTCGGTGCCCGGGCGGCGACCGCCCAGGCACAGGGCGTATTTTGGGCGGCGAGTGAAAAGTGAGCAGGCGCCGGCCAAATTTTAACTCCGCGCTAAAACTTCAGCGGCGACCGGGCGATGCCCTAAAAACGAGCGGTGCCTGGGCGGCCGCCGCTCGGTGGCCGGGCAGCCGCCGGCAGAATTGGTTAAAAAACTCGCCGCTCGGCCGCCGAGCAGGCAACTTTTTGCTAATGTGACCATAGCATTAGAGTGGTTGTTTGTATTGTAATGTAAATTGACCTATTTACGCCTACATCCTCTTCTTTCAAAACGGCAATCTTCCAGAGTAGTTACTTCTTTACATTCTTTTGTTCCCCCTTAGCGTGGGGCAGCTGAGGGAGCCTGGATAAGCCTTTCATAAAAGAGGAGGTCCATACATGAATGATTCGCTAAATTGGTCAAGTTGATAACATGAAAAGCGTATTGTCATGTAAATACAATGACGTAAAAGATAGCTGTGGAGTCAAAACTTTTGAGACGACAGGCTTTATAGATAACTTATGGAAATATCATCGAATGTCGTTGTTTCATATTCTTCATTTTCTACGTCCGATGAATACTCTTCTTCGCTTGATAAGTCCATTTGTATCATATTCATTTTCTGAGTCCGAGTCAAGGATCGCTTCTCGAGCATCTTCAACGCTAAAAATAGGCTTTCTCCGATGACGAGACATTTTGAGAAACTATCTTACATAGATAAAGAGCAGTTATAAGCAAATAATTGAGAACTAATTTGTGCAACCAACTATCATGAAAATCAAAAAGCTGAACTAAATAGTAAAACTCCGACACTTTATAGCACGATAAGTAAATAATAGCCGACAACCTTGAAACGAAACAAAGGGATGGACTATATCAAGACTAGCTAATCTCTCCAATAATAGGTCGGCCCGGTACCCTGTATACGTACGCATGAGTAAACTGAACTGAGAGCGCTAGGTCGAACGAGACTGTAATATACTATAAGCTTTTCAATAATCGGCCCGTTACCATGAATAGGCGTCAATGACCATATAAGGCCAAGGCTCATGCATTGAACGGTGTATCCGCGCGTGCCGAGTACAAAGGTATCCAGAGCGAGTGTGGAATTCGCTGCTTGCAAAATCATTATGTCCGGCTTACACAGTCCTAGGCATAGTAGACCCAGCTAGCTAGCAGCAGCGAATCCGAAAATCTATGAAAATAACGTAAACTGACTTGCATGTGTTCTATACGAATATCCTGAAAGAGGACTCGTGCATTCTCATGCTAAACTTGTAATAAAACAAAAATTACGCATCTACAGTCGGTAAAAAATGAGATGCATGTAGCCAAAGGTTCAAGGTTTGTATACAGGTAGTTTATATTGTATTTAGAAGGTGAATATATGTACTTTTCTGCAATAAAAGAAGCCCTTGCTCGGACCCGAGAAATCTCGGTTCCCGTTTGTGAGTACGTACCTCGGGACCCGAGAAATCTCGGTTCCCGAGTTGAACGGGTTAATAAGGCTCATTAGGAAACCACAGAGTGTTTGTTAATGATGGTATTGTTCTTATTGTTCTGCTTCAAATTTCTGTATCTTATAACATACAGCTCAGTGAATACGTACTAATTCTTTTTTTCCTATAGTTGCCATTCATTTACACATTGAAAAATATGTAATGGCTTTTTTTTCAGCCATTTAATGCACCATAGCTAAACAAGCCTTTCGTCTTGCATCGTTGTCAAATCCCATTTTGCTGAGAAATTTGTTATATTTGAGCTTATTTCTGTACATTATTTACTCTATTAAAACATGTCTGAACTAGTTTGGTCAGGGGGATTAGAGCTGCCTGCAAGGTCACAGACAGATGGTTATCTCATCAAATCAGCTCTCAATTAACATAAGGAAAAGGGGATCATGGGGGACCAACAGTCACTGATTAGGCACTGTTTGCTATATAAAGGGCGCAAGTAGCTGTAAGTAGTGCAGTGGGGCTTTAAGTCTGCCAGCCTCTCAGAGGGCAAACTCGGCTAAGTAGTCTATCTGTACTTGTTGACTTATATTCCCTATATCATTGTGAGGAAGGAAGCCAGCTGATATGCAACAATTTGAATTGTTTTACTCTTAGAAAACCTCAACCTCCACAATTCTGAGCTTTTATGCTTCTCTGTGAACTAATATTTAATTTGCAAGCAACTTAAAAATGGTTCACTCAACAGGCTTTATATTGTCTATAACTAAATACCTGCAGTATACAATCCAATAGGCCTAAATTTAATTTTAACCTTAGTCCCACATACAGTTCTGTATCATAGTTTATGTTTTTTTCAGTATACATGATGTTCTGCAATAATTTGTTATAACTTCTGGAATCTAGTTATATTTTTGCTGGTCAGAATAATTCTGTAATACATGGTGCTTCAAACTGACCAGCTACAAAAAAATTATGACCTTCTATGTTGCAGTTTCAATTAGAATACAATCTTGCTCCACATATAGCACTACTGTACTTATACAAAGTTAGGGACAGTGTTTACAATATCACAAGCGAAAACATCATATCATTGCAACAAACAAACTCACCATTGAGTGACCAGCAGAAACCGGGCGGTTTTTCATCCCCTTCCTCTCCCGTCACGATGCCCCCATTGTGCTGCATGTAGGCCTCATCCTGGGGAAGGGCCGACATGTACTCCCCAGACCCCCCTCCTCCTCCACGTGATATCAACATGGATAGGTAATATTATTATGATAACTTATTATATAACCCAGGGGTGATAGTGAGCACTAAAAAAAAAGGATTCAGGGGGGGGGGGGAATGGCAATCTAACAAGATTGCCCTTTTTGAGTAAGAAAATTGGGGAAAATCTGGAAAATAAGGTGAAAATCTGGAAATAAGGATGAATCCGGAAAATGTTCATCTGAGGGTTCAAGAGAGAGAGAGAAATCCCAAGAGATGGAAAAGCAGTAGACTCCTGACAACTTCTTTGAAGAACCAAGAGCCTGAAATATTTGCCTCATCTCATGGGCTGTTATAGTCGTCTACTGGGGTATGGTGGCCTGACAACACACTTCACCTACCTATGGCATCTGCTCTACCCATTGTCTGGCCCATTGCCTCCTCATAGCGACTGACGGCCATAGTCCCGTTACCATTCAGCAGCTTTTCGTTGACATCGTCGTCTTCCGTCTGTGTTGATAATAGTGTTCCCGCTGCGCACACTGCCGTTAGAAGGGGCAGCATAATCCCTGCACTGCTCCCCCTCCTGCCTGTGGAGCCGAGGCTTCCGTCTGCTTCAGCCATCTTCTTCTGTTGTTTCAAGGGTCGGGATGTCGAAGTAAACGAAAAGTAAGAGCAACTGCTGAAGTCCCCACAAGATGGCCATTAACAGCTACAGAGTGTCAAGGTCCAAATGGTAAAAGAATAATTATTTTCTAATAGTTGTCTAGGGGTCTAGAGGCCCTTTTGTGTAACATTCGTTATTATTATCAACAACAACAATAAATATATTTTTTTATAGTGCAGAATATCCACCATGTAAGGTGCTCAAGGTGCTCAATATTACAATCTTGCAAACACAATTTAGGAGCTGCTACTAGTTTACATCTGAATATTAGGTTGCATTAAATTGCATTCAATTCTATTAATATGTATCTTTTATTATTACCAGATTTCAAAATTATTGGGATGATAGAAACTTTCTTGATTTGCCAAAGTCAGCGATTTTCCCAGCTAGAAACTTCTGCTTTGATTCATTTTTATGTCAATTAAAATGTTCGTGAATCTGGACAGCTCGAGAAATTGGCTAACACTTTTATGAATTTGAAATGTTCAGGTTTTACAGTGGCCTTTTAATATTTAAAAGGGCAAGCCAAACTTTTGAAATAAGTTAATTTGTATGAGAGCCAAAAAATGAGAGAAACAAAGTGGTAAAATTTTGAAATAAATCAGACTAAATTTATGAAAGTTTGAAATACAAGATCACCACATCTACATTTACGTGAATTTCAAATTAGCAATTTGGTCAGAGGATTGTGACATACCTGTTGTAATGGACAATTAACTCTCCCATTTATCATGTACAAAATTTCACTAATTTCTATTTTTCTCCTAAATGCCCTCTCCCTTGAGAATCTACTCAAAT